GGGGGGGGAGGGGAAAGGCGGGGCTACCAAAGTTTCCAAAGTTCAGACCTTGCTCGGATTTTTCAGACTTTTATTTGAGAGAATGCAGGCACTGACTGGTATGGGATAGGCAGGCGTTTAAGTACCTCTGTAATCCTGGACGCGATTGGAACATGGAAATCTCAAAGTTGACTGATTTAGTGTCACTAGGTTGTTGTGTGTCTAGCACCCTGGTGACTTTCCGAAGGGGAAGATGTTTGAACCTATATTCCTGAAGGCTTGACCTGGGCTGACAATTGCTAGACCTCGTGACTTGAACTCCTTTTCATGATAAATCTTTCCATGAAGCACCATCTTACTAGTAGGGTCCCAATTCAGGAGTTTAAAGTAGTGAAGTCTCTCCGGTTACGGAAGCTTCTAAGTTTTCTCACCCTCAACTGAGCTGGATTTCCCTGATCTCGTATTGTTGTGTGCGACTTGGCATTGGTATTGTTTACCTAAACTCAGCCTCAATTTAAATTTACTGTTGATAATGTGACTGACCAGAAAGGGAAAATGAACTGACCCGTCTATGTGGGATGAGGGTATCATGAGACTGTACAGGCCGCGGTGGAATTGCTATGACGTTCCTGTAAGATTCACCTGTATCAGTTGTTACTTGATACTACTATTGTTCCCACTCATCACATCCTACTGATCCTCACGATTATGCGTGAAAATTTCGCGTTTGAGACGTGATGCTCTTACGGAGAGGCTTCATGACGGGATAGTACCAGGGTAAAGCGCATTGACATACTTATGAATGAATGCTGCTTATGATGAATTCTATTTCCTGTTCTCTATTCGTACGCTTACATTCCGAGAGAAAAGATCTCCTTTCAATAGTTGGCAGGTCCTCTGTCAGTACTGCATGACTTTCTTATGTAGAATAATGCTGGATAATTGCTCAGGGCACTGCTTATACCGAGGAAACCGTTCACAATTTCGTTCTCCGCTTTTCCCTTATTGGAAATCGTATAAGACCTCGAGTAGATAGAGCGAGGTCTCGAGATCTTTGTGCCTCAAGCACGTTGTTGTACGTGGGATGCGCCACGTACTCGACTTTTCAAAACAAAAAGGTGACCTGTATACCCTGTAGGCTCTTGAAACCAATAAAATCCCACCCACGAATTTGTAGCTGGCCGTTCCGGGTGGTTTTCAGGTTGACTATACTCTACCTAATCTTAAAGGCACAGTTCACAAAAAAGTGGTTTCAGAGATTTGCACATTTTTTGAATTCGAAGCCCCCTCTGATACCATTTGTGCAGGAATGAGGTCGGAAAACGGTCTGGATAGGCACAATAAGGGCAGGAACAGTGGGGGACGTCAGGCCTCCGCCCCTCGCTAGGTTGACTACGAGTTCAAATTGTCCTTCACCACTTTCGCATTGGAGCAACATTAGTGAAAAGTCGATAGGCTGGTTGGCAATTTGCCCACAGACGGTCAGCTGGTCGACCGCCTCGTATTGGGACTACTACTCGGCTGTTTCTCTAGTCTTCGACTATATTCTACGCTTTTCTATTCTAATTAATTTTTCTCAGCCGTCGTCAAAAGGTCGAAATTGATACTGCATAATAAATCAGATTAATAGCGGTAGGAGAATTAGTTTTAATGAATAAGCCAAAATCAGCTCTTGGTGTGTTGTGTGCAATGGCAGACACTGCGCCGCGTTTGTCTGACTCGCCCGAAAAATTCTTATCGCCGTTTTTTCGCCATTTAGCTCGTCCGACCCCCCTTTTCCCTTGTTTTTTGTAGCTGTTTATTTCTTTATATTCATTTTTTTTTCGCGTTTTCTTTATTACCATTGTACTATTGTAGGCCGTATCTAACATTTTTTGTCAAATTTCGCCAAAAAACCGGATACCCCAAAATTAACGTGAGCTGTGCCTTTAAGAAGAGAATCCTTGGTTTTCTGGAGACTGGAGGCGGCCATACACGCGC